GAATTTTTTGTATCATTTTTGGCGAATTCCCAACTCTCAAATTTGTTAGAATTTCGTATTACTACTTGTACTCCCGCAAGTCCATGAAAAATCTAGAAGGCAAAAAAACAAGAATGAGAGTTTCAGAAAGAAATGGAAATTTAAGCGCCATTAGAACTGCAACCATATTACTGCATTCGCGTCTTAAAGGCGAAAACGATCAATAAGACAGGCATTTATTCCTTCACCAACATGCCAAAATAAAGAGTTTGCCGAATTTCTCGAGCTTTTCAGAGGAATGAAGAAAGTGTAATCGAACTTAGGTAGCAACCTATACGTTCGCTTCAAGATTCAAAGAAGCAAACATATCAAACCAAAGTACAAGATGACAAAAGAGATTGAAAACAGAACTATTCATAATTAACATCATACCTGAGAACCCAACCGATTAGAGTCAATCAAACACTTTGCCAGTGCGAAATCGCTATTTGGCAAAACCATCAATGTTTTCAGCAGAACAAGTCGAACAATTGCTTCGTCATACCTGAACTCATCATAATTAAATCAAAATGTGCATATATGGTCGAAAAAAACCTACTTGTCAGGATTGAGCTGGTATAATTTAAGGACTGTCAAGACAATGTCACGGTCATAGTGGTTCTCGCTAGCCATCAACTGTACACATTTCGCTAGCTCACCAACATTTTCTGGGTTGTATCTGGAAACGTCAGATCTTTTCCCTAGTCAGCTTATTGATTCCAAGAATGCTCCATAGTTCGGAAAGAATCATCGTTCAATTCCACGAACTTGCATTGAAATTCTTCATCAAAAGATGCCGCTACACTACTTTTTGCCGTCATGACCCTACTATGGCCAGTGGATTTACGGCATCAAAAAAAAAATGGTGCCAGAAGTGTGTGGGAAGATATTACGGAACGAGTGGGGATACGAGTTCTGAATTCTGATTTTGAAAACTAAGCAGAGCTCAGTCACATTGAGATTCAACACACTAACGACAAAGCTGATTTTCCAATATTTTTTTGCCATTTAGGAAAAGTATACTTCGCAATATTGAGTTTGCTAATATTTTCTGGCCTCCAATAGGTCCTACGGTCTGTATTGAGCTTTTGGGAAGT